ACTTTCCTTTAAGATTGTTTCATCGGCATGAGTTGCTGCTATTAAAAACTGCATGTGCACTAACTAATATACATAGAAATGGAAACATAGAAGAGTGACGGCAGAAAAAAAATACCAAGAAGTCTTCCACATTTGTTATCAGTTACAGAATGGAAACAATAAGGCTAGGTTCAAACAACTGCGGCTGCGATTTGATCCAATTTTCAGGGCAATTATGTAGTGCGACTTGGTTGTGCATCCATCTCACACATTCCGGGAATGAGCTCTAAAAAGTACCGGGTGCTGCAGCAAGCACTAGCTACATACTGGAGCATACATCACACAATGTAAATGTTCACCAGCACACCACAAATCTTCAATCGGGTCTAAACGGATTTTATTGAAGAAATATCATGCCACAAACAGTGTAGTGCAACACTTAAGAGTCACACAGGATCCCTTCCTCATATACCTGACAAAGGGGTCCTGATTGTCTCCGAAATGTTGCACTACACTGTTTGTGATGTGATCTTTCTTCAATAAAATCCTTTTGGACTCGCTTGAAGATCCGTGGTGTGCTGGCAAATATTTACATTGGTTGTGTTTTTGAAGCAATTTTGAAGCATTTTCAGTTTTGGCCAATGATAAGCATATCTGCTGTGACGTGAAACACATGAAATCATATGTAGATGCATCTTTGGTGCGTATCCATTGAAGTCTACGGGACCAAAATCATACTGGAATCGCATGCATGCTGTGCTGTGTTTGAGATAAACGGGCACCATAGAAAACAATGTGATCTCCATTGTCATGTGAATCAATATGCATCTGAAATTGCTGGAATGTGAACCAGGCCTAAGAGAACAGGCCAAAAGCATGGGGCATTCAAGCTCTGTTGTCATTGTACCTGTCTGTGCCCCAGCAGGTCAGCATCCTTTGATCAGCTAAGTTCCATCTCCATTTGGTGCTGCAGACTTAAAGCTCAATTGATGTCTAACACTTTTTATCTCTTTAGAGTCTTGCCCTCCCACTTATGACCTGATTTGTGCCGGGGAACACCTAAAATACCTTCTCTCAGTGAAGATGCTGCTTTTACCCCTCAGACTGCAGTGCTGTATGCTAGCAGAAATGAGTAAGGTTGTTTTCACACTGATCTGTTTTTCTTCCACTTTTACGTTAAAAAAACGGAAAAAAAAAACGCACAACCACATATCGCTACAGAACTCTTCACACTAATCAGTTGTGGGTCCGGGTCCCGCTTGCTGTATATTTAGTGCAGCAGCAAAAAAATGCACCTCCTCATTGAAATCAATGTAAAACGCGTCAAAATGCATCAGAAATGCACCTGCGGTGCATTTTTTGAGCGGTTTTTGAGTCACATTCCCTTTAAGAAATGCACTGCAAATGCTATAAAAACATGGCTCCTGTACCACTATCCCCTCCCTCCTAGATTGTAAGCTCCAAGGAGCAGGGCCCTCGAACCCCTCGTGTATTGAATTGTATTGTTACTGTATTGTCTCGTGTACTGTCTCCCATTATAATGTACAGCGCTGAGCAAACTGTTGGTGCTATATAAATCCTGTATAATAATAATGGCTAAAAAATGCATATGTATTTTTGCCAAAGATCAGTGTAAATATAGCCTTATAGCCACATCTCTGAACACAAGTGTCATCATAAAGACTAGAGGGCCCTTGTCAAACTCTCAGGCTTTTGGACTGCACAGTCAGATTTAGGCTCCATGCACACGGGGTGTTTTGATAGCTGTGTAAAGTCACGTTAAAAACCTGAGTTTTTGAGCTTTTATTTAGCGTTTTTGAATTAGTGTTTAGTGGCGTTTTTTTTGGTCAAAATAAGTTCAAGAAAGCCGGTTTGTGGCGTTTTACCACTTTTTGCTGCATTTTTACAGCTAAAAGAAGTCCTCTAGAAACCCACTAGTTCTCGGGGGTTTTTCTAGCCAAAAAAACGTTGATTACAGTCTATGTGCGCATGGACACATAGGATAACATGCTGGGGAGTTTATTGGCTGTAGAAAAAAACCCATCAAAAGCCAAAAACAGCCGCTGTAAAAACATCGCATGAGGACTTGGGCTTTATGCACATCTGTTGTAATAGGAAAATTAAGGCAAGACTATGAAAATGGATGTTTTTTTGCTCAATGTCTATCTGACTGCATAACTATTTATGACTTCACTTGGGCTTTAACACGTTGCTGTGCTACACTTAACGAATGGATTAACCTAACCACCATACTTTAAGGAGCTCAATGTGACTTGGTTCACTCTCACTCATTTAGAAGTATCATTCTTCACAAGCATTTGGAGTTAACCTTTGGGCAAAACACTCTCTCAGGCCTACCACTTAGAGGTGCTCAGCAAGTAACAGAACATGCTGGGAACATCCTTTTAAGTCCCATACATATGCATGCATATACATAGCCCTCATAAGCCATTTAAGCAGGGAGGAGGAAGATTTCTAAACAATTGAAACAAATACAAAAAAGTTAATCCTGAATAAATCTATCTGTTAAAGCAGATCTGCATATGCATATCATATTATGTACATCTCTGTAATACATTTACATTTCCTTTTTTTTTTTTTTTTTCTTCGACCAATCGACCTGCCAGAAAAGCACTCAGCTCCTACGTACTGTGGTGGGCTGACAATACAATTTATGACATGATCAACAAGTATCCTTTGCACTTATTAAAAATGCTTTAATGGTATATATAAAGGACCAAATGGGAGCAAATAAGTGAAGTTCATTGTTAGGGATTGCATACACTAACAGGGACACAGGCATATGCATATCATATGCTGTACATCTCTATAATACATCCACATTTTTTTCGACCAATCGACCTGCCAGGAAAGCACTCAGCTCCTACGTACTGTGGTGGGCTGAGAGTACAATTTATGACATGATGACAATAAAAGTATTCTTTGCACTTATTAAAAATGCTTTAATGGTATATTTAACCATTTCAATACCGGGCAATTTTACACCTTCCTGCCCAGGTCAGTTTTCACATTTCAGCGCTCTCACACTTTGAATGACAATTGCGCGGTCATACAACATTGTACCCAAAGTAAAATTTTATCGTTTTCTTCACACAACTAGAGCTTTCTTTTGGTGGTATTTAATCACCGCTGGGGTTTTATTTTTTTGCTAAATTAACAAAAAAAGACCAAAAATTTTGAAAAAAACCCCACGTTTTTCTTTGTTTCTGTTATAAAAGTTTACAAATAAATAATTGTTCTTCATAAATTTAAGCCAAGATGTATTCTGCTACATGTCTTTGGTGAAAATAACCCAAATTAGGATGTATTATTTAGTTTGTAGGAAAGTTATAGAGTTCACAAACTATGGTATAGATCTGAAAATTGATCAATCCTGAAGTACTGACAGCCAATCTAATTTCTTGAGGTCCAAGAAAGTCAGACTAGTACAGATATTCAAAATGACCCCTTTTTGCACAGTAGACAGTCCGACATACTACATAAGAGGAATGGCGAGTTTTTTGAAGTTGTATTTTTTTTGTCATAATTTTTCAGAAAATTAAAAAATTAAAAAAATTATTTTCACTATTTTTTTTTTTTACATACTGTCACCAGTGCAGTACAGCGTCATCAAATAACTGGCATAGCGGTGAACAGGGACACTGACTGGTGACAGTATGAAACAAAAAAAATATATATATATATTTTTTTTTTTTTTTTTATTATTTTTAATTTTTTATTACATTTTTTTTAAGATTTTTTTTTCATATTTTACTATAACCAAAGTAGTACAATGTTACCATAGTGACATAGTACTACTTTGGGGAAGTGATCAGTATTTTTTTTTTTTTTTTTTTACACAATTTGCTTATAGCAAACAATTACTTTGCTATAAGCAAGCACTTACCTGAATGACATCGATTCATTCAGGTTTTTTTTTTTTTTTTTGTGCTTAGCTGTGATTTGGCCACAGCTAATCACATGACATGTGCATGTGACCTGCTGTGACCATTCACAGCTAGGCACTAGTATACAATGGATGGCATGAATGAAGCCATCCATTGTATACAACTGTCATGTGAGCTGCTGTGATTGGTCACAGCAGGTCACATGGTACCGGCAACGGGGGCCGGTACTCAGATCTGTCATCGGCCGTGTCCGAGGTACATGGCCGGTGACAGATCCCGCCGCTGCGCGAACTGCGCATGTGCAGGAAGACACCAAATGGCGTATACCCCGCAAATCTGCCGCATTTTTGCGGCCGCCAAACGGCTATAGACCGGGCGGCTAATGGTTAAAGGACCAAATGGGCAAATAAGTGAAGTTCATTGTTAGGGATTACATACAATAACCGGGACACAGGCAGCATCAAATACCTTAAAGAAGTCTAAACCTTTCCCCCACTCTACTTATAAAACCATTTTTTGTTGTTGTACCCTGAATGGACGGAGTCTCATGTCTCATGAAGCACGGAGACAAAAAAAAAAAACTTGACGAAGGTTCGACTCTTCCCCATTCTAATCCAGATTAAAATAGTTCTTGTTCAATTACCAAAGGGTTTAGAAAAAAAATATTTAAAGCCCATCCCCAAGAAAAACATTTTATTTTATTGTGGATAGAGCAGGGAAAGTTTAGAGTCTCTACAAACGTGTTTTTTGTCTTTTCTCTATCGGGGAGATTTGTCCTCAATTTCTGTAAGGATGGAAAGTGATTGTAAAGTTCTCCAAAAGGAGGCAATGGCAAAATCAAATTTTTAGTAGCTTTGGGAAGGATTAGATCTTCCGATAATATTTTTATTGCTGTCTGTGTCTTCCTGTCCCAGTAACAATCTCATTCCTTTATTCTTGTATGGGCGCTATGGGGACAGGAAGTGAAGGACAACCACTCCAACAGGCTCCGAGACAAACAAAAACCTGGAAAATGTTACGTCTCCCCCACACTTTAACACATTTTACTGACTATACAAGTTGTAAGAGTAATAACAATATCATTATACATGAAAGATAAAGATGGCACATTACCATCTCCAGGGATGATGCGTAGAGTTACAGTGTTTCCAGCTTCTTTAATTAAGTTGACAATATCCGAGTGTGATTTGTTGGTGATGGAACACCCGTTGACGGCCAGTATCCGATCTCCCACTTTGAGCTTTCCGCAGCGGTCGGCTGGGCTGCCCTCGATTATCCGACCTATTTTATGAGGCATGGCCACACATGCATTTCCAGCTTTTGTATGTCACAGTTTGTGTTAAAGTGACAAGACATCGGAGGGACAGGAGAAAAGGATTGAGAAAGGAGAAAGAAGGTTGAGGGTTAAAATGCATTAAGCAAGTATTAGCTGAGCTTTGCTGCTCATGTTGAAGAAAACACTGGCAAGGCAAGCTGGATGTTGACATATCAATCAATGAGCCAAATGGGCTGGCCACTATGGAGGATACAAAGCCACATCATGCCATACCAAAGTATGGTGCTGTACTATAAAAAACTGTTGCCGATCCTATCAGTTTTTCATAGATCAGAGATCTTCCTTGGATTGAACTTGTGACCAGGCTATGGACATTCAGGCATTTAGATATCTTCAGAAATTGCAAGGCCACCATGCTAAACATTTCCCCAGTGCTAGGTATCCCCATAGCATGTTTCTTACTGTTTTTTTTCGGTTTTATTTCTTGTCCCGTGTTCCGCCTGAGCCAGCGCCATATTTGCGGTGTCTACTGATGTCATGTAGTGGTATACTTCTGCCTTTCCTCGTATGCCGGAGACATAATCTTGTGCATGAGCAGTGAAAATTAATAGTAATGGACATGAACTTTTGCGGGATTGTTATGCAATGTCCTGGAGTGCAGATGACAGAGGGTGGCACCTGTATGAATACACTGATGGCACACTGAGTGTGCCCTTAGTGGGGGACAAAATGCTCATATACCAGTAACGTCATACAGACAAAGATTGGTTGAAATCTAAATGGCACAGGTTGGGATAGCATGCAAGTTATTTCACTTTGCTTTATATAGCACAGAGTAGGTCAGGAGACTTTACTACCACTTGAACAAGTAGTTCTGTGGCCAGGCTATGGACATTCAAGCATTTAGATATTCTTAAAATATAACTAGGCCTTTCTTTAGTTTTGGACAGAGTGGAAAGGGATTATAACCCCTGTCAGGTTCTATTGCTGCCTCTGCCCCCATTAGGGAGATTTACCCTCTGTACTTGTCCTGTTTACCATTATCATTGAAAGTGAAAGCAACCCCTGTCAGGTTCTATTTCTACCTCTGCCCCCATTAGAGAGATTTACCCTCTCTACTTGTCCTGTTTACCATTATCATTGAAAGTGAAAGTAAAAGAAACCCCAAATTTTGGGGTGTCCTCAGAAAGGTAGTAGAGGGGAAATCTTCCACTAGTTCTGGTGACCTGGGGGGCCCAAAGAATTCCCTTTATTTGTAGAGATTTTCTCACTTCCTGTTTTGGCTACGGGGCATCAAGTGAAGATAAATCTTCCCAATGGGGCACAGATGGCAAAAAAAACTGACAGGGGTTATAACTCTCCATTACTCTATCCAAAATGAAAAAAAAAAAGTTTTGCCTATAGTTCTACTTTAACAGTAAGCAAACTTTTAATCATGTCCTTGCTGACCTCTTTAGCTGGCCTCTGCTAAACAATTCACCCTCAAAGTTCACAAAAGAAGCAGTAAAGTTCTTGATGACAAGTTTCAATACTACTCCTCCCCCCCCCCCCCCCCCCCCCACTCCTTTCCTGTGCACTCACTATGTGTTTACAGCTTAAGCAGGCAGGCTGCCAAGTCACTGCTGGAAGGGAAGAGCGGGGTTAGCGGAGCTGCTAAATGTGAAAGCGTTTATGCTGTAAGCTTTGAGGATGAATTACTCAATAGTGTCTGCAGCTACAGTGGTCAGAGGTGAATGCTTGTTTTTAAAGCTCATTTACTCCATGTTAAGAATATTTAAATATTTGAATGTTCCATAGACTGGCCACATTTATGCTTTGAAGAAAACACTTCCTAAGGAAAATGTTCTCTCCTTTTGAAAAGGCTCAGTCAATGAGCTGAAACACAGATACAGTTCCGGAAACCTGAATTCACTTGCTTTAAACTTGTTCCAGCTTGACCCACAAGCAGCTAGCATTTTCAGATGGCATTTACCAGTGACCGTCTACATCTACTGTCAATTTTACTTTACTTTTGTAAAGCTGGTAATGGTCCAGTTAGCAGCTCTCAAGCATGTGACACCCTCACCAATTAGGATCTGCTTTTCCCTTTTAGACAGCACAACTCAAAAACGAGAAGAGCAGGCTCCTGTGGCATCATAGAAGACTACAGTAAGGTAATTTGAATGGCTGCTGAACGTTTGTGGACTTTATCACTAAACTATAATGTTAATATACCAAAGCTGCACCATAAAGGTAGAATATATACACAGGGTGTAGAGATCTGGAGATTATGCTCAGAGTTCTAACTCTCAACAAGGCTGTTGCAGTATAGCTACACATACACAGTTACCTCTGTGCTTTTGCTATGTATGGTAGCAATTGCATGGATATCTTTTAACAATATCCACTTGAAAGTGTACATTTCCAGTTGCCACCAAAGCTTGTTATGGCTGTTGTTCCTAATTCTCACCTGATCACTACATTTGGCTGCTGAATCAAGGTAGACCTAGGCCCAGCATGGTCACTGTACATCTAAAAATGAAGCAAAGCACAAAATGGAAAAATCCTTTGCCAAATCTATTTTCAATACACCCTCGGGGTGATTTACAGGGCCATTATAAAACGTGTTTCCTGGAACCTGACTAAGGTTTGCTTCTTAGCACTTGCATTAAAATGGAATGGGCCGGGGTCAGCTCATTTGTCTTCAAGGCCGCAGATTACCCACAATCCCTCCATCTCTGTATCAGGTCCATGATCTCCCATATTGCAAAAAGACAAATCACCCACTTAGGCTTGCCAGTGTTTTGTTCATGAATGATAATCAGTGCATATAATAGGCTCCCTTCCACCTCAGATGTACAAGTAAGCAGTAAGGAATAGTTTTATTATCACCTTCACTAAAAAGCAACCAAGCCACTAGAAAGCTTGTAAAAGAAACCATAGCACAGGAAGCAGAGAACAGTAGTTAGCAAACCAAGTAAAAGGGATATATAAAATGTGTGCACATGGCAATTTGGCAATCCTAACTAATATTTTGCTTATAGTATCTAAAGCCAAAACATTTTTTTTTCATTTTGGATAGAGTAGTGGAAGGGTTAGAACTCTTTTTTTAGCCATCTGTGTCCCAACAGGTCATTTCTCTTCATTGTCTATCCTGTAGACAGAACAGGAAGTCAAAAACTTTCCAAACCAAGGGGCTTTGGCTTTAGATAAGAAAAAGGGAAACTGCCACGGCTATATAAACATTTAATACATGACAAAGAATTCTCAGAGCATTATGGGCTTTTTAAAGACAGAAGGCAACCAGATTCAGTAAGGTGATCTTCATTTGTACGTTTGGGCACAGCCATTTAGAGGGAGGACGAAACCTCGGACACAGCCATTAAGTGGTAGGCAAGAGAGGGGAAGAAATCAATGCTGTGACTCATCTTGTTGTATGTGTAAATTTCAGAATGAGCTTCTGAGCTCTGTAAACATTTGGCTTTTTACAGCAGGAGGTAAAAGGAAAAAAAGAATAAATGTAAAAAGAAACCTAAAGTTCTACCCACTGCCAAAATAAAATTAGAATATGTTCATATTCAATATTTACCTGACTCAAAGGAAACACAAAGATAAATCAATTGTGTTTTTCGTATTGATTATAAAAACAAAATATGTATAAAACTATTTGTTCTCTTTAAACATTATACCTTCAGGGAGACAAACTGGCAAAAGAAAGGTTGAAACTTGGATGATCACACATTTAAATACATGAAAAAGAATTCTCAGAGCATGATGGGTTTTCTAAAGAGAGAAAGTGACCAACAGCTGAAAACAGGTGAAAATGTTCTTTGAATATTCAAATTATTCGGTGACCATGAATACAGCCCCATTCCAGACACAAAACTGTTTGTTCAGGACACAAAGTAAAAAATATCAGTGGCTGTTCCAAGATACAAAGGACTAGAAAGAACATGTAACTGCGCTAAAATCATAGTCATTTAAAGGATCACAGAATGTGCCCCTGTTTTTCATAGCCACTAAGGGAAGTACCTATATAACTGGGCAAGAAGTCAAGAAATACAATCATGGTATCATAAAGATAATCATAGGAAAATGATGTCTAGATAAACTTCACAATACTAATTTATTAAACGCCCACTGAAAATGCTTAAAATTGTAAATACATATTTTATCTCCTAATTTAACCATGATCTCATCGGACACAATCTGCCTTCCTTTCTTATTTTTTTCCTACATTTTTTGTATAGATATGAAATATTTACTGTATTAAAGCATCCTTTGATTTTCACTTCAAAGCCTACAAAATGTTACAAGGCCTAATGTATATTTTATTTAGGACTGAAGCCAATAAGTTGATTAAATATTCTATGTACTTTTATTTCTTTCAGTGCTGAATTCAAGAGCCCATCTTTATGGCTCCCGATGCACGGGAGCTGAGCCATAAACCTACAATCGCTCAGAAGATTTCTCAATAATTACAGGTTTTTACTGTCGTCTTGGGCTTCAGATGGCACTTGCCTTCTTAATGGAATACAACTAGAAGCAAAATAAATTTTGAAAGTGCATTAATCAGTCAGTTTAAATTACAGAAAATGAAACTCGCTACATACAAATTTTCTGTGTTTCTTAGAACTGAGTTCAAACCTAGTGGTTCTCATTCATCAAAAGACTTGTGTACATGTAGGAAACAGATCTTAATTTTTTTATTTTTGGGGAGATTAGAAAAGGAACAACGTTGAGGGAAACCTGTAAAAATAGACATATGGGAACTACCATTTCTGAATGCTGTAACAAAAAACGATAATGGTTTTTGGTTACATTTTTTTTTTTCCTCTCAAGACTAGTGATCTGTACCCTCTGTATGGCTTAAGTCATCCCTCAAAATGGCTGCCCACACTTTTGACTAAATTAAAAGGTATATCTATTTAGCTCTATATGGTTGAAGTTTGATTTATGGTGAGACTTGCTTCTCATTTTATGAATGCCATATCCCTGTGAAAGCTTGCAATGTGCCTTTAACTGCAACTGCATGTCATGGCATTTTCACTGCACTCACCGAAAGTGGTTCCAGCTTCCGGCCTGCTGACGGATGACACAATGACAAATCCAAAACCTTCATTTTCACCACGTTGAATTTCCACGTCATAAGGTTGAACCACAGTGCTGACTAAGCCGCTCCCTCCACCTCCACCGCTGCCGATTCCACTGGTGGAGCCACTGCCAGAGCTAACAGTGTTTAGTGAGTTTTGGCTGCCCTGGGGAGTGCGTTTCTCCTCTGTCAGAGATGCGGGCTGGTTACTACTATGATGGGAAGATGCTGGTGAGGCAGGGACTTCATTTTCTGTTTTGAGAACTGGAAGACAAAATGGTTATACATTTTCACATATTACCGGGGAACAAGATGTTGAAAAAATAATAAATAGGAAAAGACAACATCAAGAGACTTTATAACAGAGTTAAACAGACTATTTCATATTCAGAAATATAAGCATGAAAAAAACAACCAAAATACATCCCTCATTGTCACTGTGACCATGCATATGAATATGAGTAAAACGCTCTATTGAAACAGCTGCAGGTTGTCCTTAAAGATGCTTTTTTTCTTATCAAGATTAACACTTTTGGGTTTATTTACTAAAACTTGAGAGTGCAAAATCTGGTGCAGCTCTGCATGGTAACCAATCAGCTTCCAATTTCAGCTTGTTAATTAAGCCTTGAAAAAAAAAAAGCCTGGAAGCTGATTGGTTTCTATGCACAGCTGCACCTGGTTTGCGCTGTCCAGTTCTAGTAAAACAACCTCTTTGTCTTTAAGTTTTCTGGTCTGTGATTCGTTCAATTTGATCATCACCTGTGACAATCATCTGTTTTTAATTTCATACATTATCTTTCCAGCAATAAAGATCTGGATGCTTAGTGCATGCAAAGATCTGGTGCATGTTGAAAACCCTCTTCTAGAGAGAAAAGGATACAGTGTGTGTTCAGAACACAGGCTAAGGCTGGCCATAGAGGATTGTTTTTTCCAGGCAATTTAAAATTTTCCAACATTCCTGTTCGAGATGGACTTCTCTCAAGTAGGAATGGCCATAAATGGATGGAAATTCAGCCGATTCCGCAGCTTTAGTCAACTGGAAGTGCTGCAAGCAGGTCCCAGTGGTGTTAAAATCTAGATCAGGGGCTGTTACAAAGCCTTAATTTATTGCCGAAATGGCCCCAATAACACCTTCTCCAGACTGTCAAAATCAACATTCTTATCACCAGTCCTAATAGGTGCCATTATGACTTCAAAAGATGTCAATAACTTGGGTTTATCCATATTGAGAGTTTTTAATCCAAAGAACATTTTTTTTAATTATTCGGAAATCCATTCCTCTTTCCATTTTTGGTTGTGATATAATATGTTAGGAATCCCTGTTTTACAAGATCACAAGCAAATATATCAATCACATTTGTCATTCTTGGGGTGCCCACATGCTGCCAACAGACTGGGGCTGACATTTACAAACTAACAAACGGGAAAGGCTTTTGTCAGACTCCAATTTGGGGACAATTAAAACATCAAGATACCAGTGACTGAAAGGATATCATGGGAATGGTACGTGAGAACTGCAAAAGATGAATTTCAAAAAGGCAATTACACTGACTTGGGGCATCAGCCTGCCCGTTGAGTGACTCTAACAGAAAAAAATCACTTAGAGGCATGCTCCTTTAAGCAAAAGTAAATGGACAAAGCAATCATGTTACATACATGAAATTGCCCAAAATTACTGCCCTTGCAAATGAAGGGAATAAATGCTCATCTCTCCCGCTGACTGTTTCGTTTTATACCACTTTGCTGGACAGAAATTGTCCATTGAAGTCTGTTAAGACTGGCATTTATGGGTGGGTTAAACTCCTGGTCCGCACAATGCTCAGCAATTCTTCCCACCGACCGCCACGTTGCTGCTACAAGACACAATAGTTTCATGGAGGTCGGTGGGTGAGCCCCCTGATCACAGTCCAGGTTTTGGTTTGGTTGTGGTTTTTCTGAACAGATTTCAGTGGATGATATATCTCTAACAGAGAACCACCTCTCAGTCCAGGCAGCCGGAGAGGTATTTACTCTCTTTTTTTTGCAGGGAAAGCTTCTGGGCAGGTTAATTTTCACAAACATGGACAAGTCAAACTAAGCAGAAGTTCTTAAAAAAAACGCATACACAGAAGTTACCTTCCGTGACAACCACATGGCAAATAAATTATTATATCAGATATTGGCAGCTAAAGTGAAAGGCAAGTCTCAACCTTTGAGTCAAAGCTGAACATGCCACAACTATCCCATCTGCCTACTAGTCTTGGCCAGCTTCACTAATTAATCAGGGGGGCTCAGAAGAGGTATTCTATGCCAGAATTTCAAGATTTGTATATACTTTCAGCTGCCTATATTTTTGATATGCGTTTTTACGGAAGGTGACCTAAGATTGTCCGTATTTGTGACATGTTTATGTTAAAGCTGCTTTTCCCTTCTTATACACACAGGACCCATCTGATGGTATGGATATGTCATGAGGGTGAACTATAGGTTTAATATCTACCTACCTGGATAAACTACTTTACGTCTTATGGTTAAATTGACATGGCCTTGTTTAGCTGCTTGCTGCATAAGCTGTACTACGAGTTGATGGGATTTCCCAACTACAGCTGTGCCATCCACACAGATCAATTCATCGCCTGATCTCAGCCGACCGTCTGCATCAGCTGATCCCAGAGGCACGATATGACCTATGAATATCTGCCGGGAGAAGACATAAGATGAAATGCATAAAAAATGTACCAGGGGCAATCATGCACTTTAGATTTTTACTAAGAGCAACTTTAAAGTGACAGTAAAAATAAATAACAAACAAAAAGCTCCTGTAAAAGAAGAGACTATTCTTATCAGTCAGTGTCAGTTCATGGAATCAAAAATCTTCTTATCTGATACCTGCTTCCCATGGTGCACCCTATGGACAGAACATTGTGGTGACAACGGGAGGAACCACAAAGCGTAGGGGGAGGCAGCCATCCAATACACCTGGAAGTGTGTCAGATATGAAGATATTTTGTGTAGCTTTGCTCAATAGCATAGTAACGATTCTACAAAATTGTGCAGATATATTTTAATTTTTATTTCCTCAACAGTGATATGAGGTGTGACAATTTAAAGTGGAACATTAGTCAGATAATTAAGTCCTGCTAGATTAGTTCAGGCTGGCCCATTTTGCAGGTATAGCTATGTAAAACATTAAAAATAAGAGCCAATACTGTTTAAAATCCAGTAAAACACTGTCTCACCCAGCTCTGCACATGCTCAGTTGCTATTTTTAGAAATTGTGCCAAATTTGTAGATGCCAGTCTGCCAACTACTTAAAGATTTACTGCTGCTCAGAACTCTAGGCTTCAGCAAAATGGCAGCCTCCAGCAAGAACAACAATGGGACAGGAACAATGCTGGAGGCAATTTACAGCATACACTTATTTCAGTAACATAATTATTGCTGTGGAATGTATGTTCCTTGCTAAAGAACATTATTTTGTTGTCAAGTTGGGTAAAGTTCCACTTTAATTCCCGAATGCCCGGGCGTAGCACTATGGTGGTGAGTCACACAGCCATTCGCACTTGAGTGTGTTCTGACTTAGAGCCAGTCCAAACCATATGCAGTCCATGGTATTTTTTTCTGCATTAAAAAGGCATTGATAGTAGGTTACATGGTTTCCAATGGCATAGTTCACACCAGTGCAGTCAGTTCCAGAAAAAAAAAAGCAGAACATGCTGCATTTTTTCTGCACTGAACTGTACTGTAACGCAGTAAAATGCACCAAAAATGCACTGGAACACATGTCCTTATTCAAGTTGAAGAAAAAGGGAGGGTAAAAAGTGAACCAGAAAGCATCAAAAACGTACCAGAATGCATCAGAAACGTGTAGAAACTCATCAAAAACATGCATGCAGAAACGCATCTGGACTGCGTTTCTATGGTGTGGTCAAGCCCTTAGGGCTTGTTCACACTTGCCTAATTTCTAACTCTTAACAAATCCTCCTACAATAAACTGTAATGTTATTAAAACACTGCAAACGCCTGCCAGTGGGTTTGTGGCGCGTCACCATAGACTTGAATAGGAGGCACTGAAAGGCTTCAAACTCCTCCAGACTCGACATGAGGCTTCAATTTTAATGCGACATGATAACAATGCTTCATGATTTGATTTGAACAGCACTGGGTGCTATCCATAGTATCACTTTCATAGACATTTGAGGAGCGTTAAAAACACCCCTCAAATGCCTGCTTTCAATGCCAGCGTGAACTAGGCTTTAGTCTTTTGGGAGTAGTAGAAGAAAATATCCCCCTGTGTGTGCTCTACTGTTGGCAGACAATAAGTGCCAGGAAACCGGAGCAGCGGATCAACATCAAATTTTGTGTCATTATTGGGAAAAGTGCGAGTGAAACTTTAGCTGTTACAACAGGCTTATGGTGAACAGTCCATGAAGAAATCAAGTGCTTTGAAAAAGGCATAGGCGGTTTAAGGAGGGCTGGGAAGATGTCCATGATGATGCAAGAAGTGGGCAGCCAAAAACACAAAGGATGGATGCAAATGTGGACAGAATGCGAACCCTCACACGCTCAACTCGAAGACTTATGCAAGCCATACATGGGTCCAATTTGGAAATTTCGGCCACAATTTCCAGGTCACAGCTCATGCTCATTTATTTTTCGTTTATATTTCCCACACGATTCTCCGATCATTGATTCAAAATGAGTTCGATATTCAAAAAATTTCCAGCATGCCCGATCACTCAAGTTCAATGGTCACACGAAAATCGTCAGTTTCTGTGACCCACTAATGGGGCGAAATTTGAACGAAAATTCTTAGAAAAGATTTTTGAAAGAAAATGCTTTCGGAATTCGACCCGTGTATGGCAGGCTTAAGTGTGGAAATGATGGCAGAAGAATTGAACATGAAAAGGGTACCAGTGAGACAGATTCTAATGGAGGATTTGGGAATGAGAAAGATTTCTGTGAAGATGGTGCCTCAAATCTTGCCAGAATATCAGGAAGAATGTTGTCTTCAAATTTCATCTGATCTTTTGAAGAATGTAGATTTTAAACGTTTTTTTTAAATTTTGAGAATTAAATTGTCACACCTCGCATAGATATTTCTATATTGACAATGGTCAAACTCCATACAAAATCAAGACTTCTAGAACATTAATATTTCATTAATAGCATTACTTATAATATGAAGATCATAATCCAAGCTCTAGGCAAACAATTTTTAAAGGTCTACAGTGTCCCTTTAAAGCCGCATACATTAAGCTGCTGTACAATCCTTGTTTGTAGGCGCTTGTTGGAAAAAGCATCAGACAGAGCAAGAATTTACAAAGCATTCAGCACAATTAAAGAATTTAATTTAAATTTAATTTCTTTTAAAGCCTTAAAGAATCCTTCAGCTAAGTCTGAGAGTGCTGAATATTAATCTGATTGGGAATTTTGGCTGTATGTTAGCTTTAAACAAGATTTTGCAAACCAGAAACAGAATTACATTTTTTAAACAATAACACAATATAATACAAGTGTATCATAGCAAACACCCAGCACATTTCATAAAGCCATAAGCATTCTTCAGGTCAAGCCTGGAAGCGTTGAATATAAATCTAAATGGGAATGCTGGCAAGATTTTAAAAACTGCACAGAAGGAAGATTTTAAAAAAACAATAACACAATAGCATGACATTATTTGTAATGACCTTTTCTTTATATTTATATCTCAAAAACATTACAGCTTCTTTGAAATGTATATTTTTCATCATGCTTATTTTTATATTACTTGGAGGTTAGACAGCTTCTGGTTGTCTGGTCACTTCTGAGCACCCACATTGGTAATAGTCCCTAATACCGCTGCTTAGGAATACCTCCCAAGCCTAATTATTAATCATAGCAAGCAGTGCTAGGATCTGGCATTGCATTATCAAACACTGGGGCATGCATATCTACTTTAATGGTGCAGTATGTAGAAACTCTTGCTGTGGATCGCTTTGGAGCTAATTAATCTCTATTGTGTACAGCACAACAGTTCACAACACAGATTATCCCAATAGAAACCCACAGCACGTCCACACAAACACAATGCAATTGCCAGTCACCAGAGAGCATGTATCCTAAGTATTATCAACTGTGGTAAGAAAACCATGCACATTGTACATCCCCATCTGTTGTCAGCATTTACTTACTGGCTCCCCAGGTTCATTCCCTCCAAGAATTCTAAAGCCAAAGCCGGTTTCCTTCCTCCACAAGAAGATATCATGCTCCTGAAAATCTGGAACTTGGGAAACCAGGAAAGAGAAGGGAAAGGAAAAAAAAACAATCACAGTGTTACTTTACATGCAAAAAAAAAAACAAAGCCAAAAAAAAGACTGATACATGGAAATTGGCATTAATTATTCATTCTGTTGAGCTGCCAGGAAGCAATCTGTGTGTGAGATGTACTGGGAAGAGATGTGAGCTGCGGCACATGAGACCAAGATAAGGAGCTTAAAGCTTGAGAACCTGTCTCCTTGGCATACAGTCAGCCATCTTGTGTACCAGGCCAGAAAGAAAAATGCCCTGTAAAAACCCATAAATATATGTTTAACAAGCAGTAAGTCCTCATTGACCTCAGTAGCTGCAAGAAAGGAGCAATTAATCTTCAAAGTTCACAACACAAGTAATGAAGTTGTTCAAGTCAGGTCTCAGCACTTTGCTCTCTCCCCCCCATCCTGTATACCTGTTATAGTTATATTACAGACCAGGGGCGGACTGACCATTTGGAAACTCGGGCACTGCTCGAGGGCCCGGGGTCAGTAGGGGGCCCCATGAGATGCCCCTGGTACCTTTTTCATAGGCTTTTTTGAGTTTGGGCAAGGACACAGGGGCCCCATGATCCCCTATTGCCCAGGGGATTGTCATCCGCCCCTGTTACAGACTAGCAGGCTTCCAAGTCAGAAGTAATAGAAAGAACTTAATTAAATAATAAAAAAAAGTATTTCTACTGTGAAATTTGAGGATGAATTGCTTCATGGTGTCGGCATCTACTGAGGGCTGTGAGAGCTTGTTTTAAAGCTTATTTATGGCTTAACAATATTGCAATATTCATATGTTTGTATCCTGGCCACAGTTTCACTTTAAAGTCCTTCCTTTTTTTGTAACAAAATAATATAGATATCTCAACTAAAGTCCTGTTGTGAGATAAAAATGTGCCCTTGCTTAGACTGCAATCCATAATGTGTATGCAAGGCAAAGCAACATATGGCTTAAGGCAACTGCCCAAGCTGCTTCACCCTGACCCGGCTTCTCGTTCCAGCCAAGGAAAAGCTTGTGTGTGTTGAATTCAACCTTCACAAGGATGCAGACTTTCAATTCACTCAGGGCTAGAGATTCACAAAGACATTAAAAATTCTGTCTAGTACTTTAGAGATATGGCTATTTTCTAATGAGCTGAGCGACAAAATGGCTGCAGGGTAAACAGTTACAATTGACTAATAGTCTACAAAACGGCTGCCTCAGCTAGATCTAGATTAGATTCAACTTTGACAGTCTTTTTTTTTCCATAGCGGCTGTCTTATAACTCCATGACAAGGGAATACCAGTGACAGTATGTAGAACACATGTCATTCTTACATGTAATTGGCATACATAAGTAGTCATTAAATGAAAATGAAAATGGAAAGCTTGTGAATACTGGAGCATTGTAGGATAATTCATTTTAGATTATGAGCTGTTTCTTTCAGCGCAGGGCTAGGAACTTTTAGCCTTGGTAGCGAAAGCACAACCAAGTGGCCTTTTCATATTAGGAACAGAAAGTGTATCACGCAAAATATGTTGTGGTGCCGCACTGACTGTTGAGCATAGTAAAAGGTGGATGTTCCTAAAGAATTGTGATGAAAAAGAATTATTGTGATGCATCTTTTAACATCTTCCAGCACCAGCTTTGCTTTGCGGCTTCCAGCATATTGTTGCATACAGTCTTAGAGCGGAAGAGGAAGTTGCTTGAAGTTTTCCCTCTACCAGTTGCTGTGGATGCATGTCTGAATGCAGTTAGCTACATGATGCCCAACATATGTCACTGAGTGGTGGTATCACTTTGATAGACATCTCAATGGTGAAGTATCTCCATTAAGGGTCAACAGCACACAACATATCTTTCTTAGTACTGGCCCACTGGGCAAATGCTTTTCCAATCTAATAATGATAGATTATTTAATACCATCACCTTGAAATGTATAGAGTAGTTAAGAGTATCACTTCTCTGCTAAGTAAGGCTGTATGACAAGAAACTTGAAGGCAAGTGGATAGAGAGACAAGGAACAGTGAGACCAGATTATCTGCAGCTCAGGTAGGATTAGGACTTCATCTCTCTCTCACAAGCCTTCTGAATAATGGAATGTATAGTCCAATTGCAAGTTGACTGCTCTCTCTACTACCTGCTCAGGTGGTGATAATCAGTGGCATAGCAGCATTAGTAACATATTAAGAAAATGCTGTTAACTCCATGGGCTCTGGTCAGAAACAATCCAGTCAGCAGACTAGGATCCAGTGAATCTCCAGGGGTCCAGCTACTACCTTTATGCTTCTGAAGTAAACCAAAGGCATAGAACAGTTTGTCAAAACTGTCTACATGTCTTTCAAATCACAAGGGAGAATGTACTTGTAGACAGTTGGTGTCTAATTGGGAAGGAGCATGCCAGTTCAGACAATGCAGATTGGGCAGCTTCTCTGTCTACTGTAATTCCCATCAATGTCAATCAAAGGGATGGGAGGCCAAAGCTTCGACCTTGCCCCAATCTACCTCAATTCTTATCCAGCTCACCCAATTTCAACTGTGATTCAAGAATGCTTCTCCCCCTCTTAATACACACATGGAAGCATCATCGAGGCATATTTATCAGATAGATATATTCGTAGCCACAGGATTGTTTTTTGTGTACATTGGATATTATTAATAACGAGATCATGTGGTTTAAAGGCTCAATATTTTCCAATGGCAGTCCAAAAACATTAAGCTACGCTTTGGTAAAATGCACACAAGAGACATGTTGACAAAAGTGGGTGACCTGTGTTAAAGAGTAGTATGACTCACAGGGTGGCATATCCTCTAAATACAGCAAAGTATGAATTGTAGTTCCTCAACAGCTGGAGTGCCGTAGCAGTTTACCTGTCCTTAGTGGACGGTCCTCTCATTGATCCGCACTGTGTTCCCAGAAAACTGTTTTTTTATCCTTAGCAGCTATAATCTATTATTGATTTCAATAGTGGTCTGTGCATGACAATACCAGTAAGTGAGTTAAACAGGAAAGGTAATATGAGGACTATTACTGAAAGAAAAAGAAAAATCAATATAATTAGGGGAAGATACTTCTTGTGGTTAGGCCATCGACTTGTGAAGGAGAGCTATTAGTAAAGAGTCCAGAGTTAAATATTGGGAAACACCTCATGTTAGCAAGTGTCTAATAGGGAAGTATATCACACATAGCAACCAGTAGGATTCTTGCTTTCATGAGCTAAACTGAACTTGAAAAGAATGCTGAAATATGATTGGTTGTTATAGGAAACTCTTTCATTAACCGCTTCAGTCGATCCTGAATACGGCTGCCAGCTGCATTCATTCATCTTTCCAACCACTCCATCTTCGCCAACCCCGTCTGCCAATCCCTCCACTGGCTTCCGATTGCACAACGGATCAAATTCAAAATCCTAACACTGACGTACAAAGCTGTCCACCATACTGCCCCGTACTACATCTCTGACCTAATATCCAAGTACAGCGCCCAGCACGCACACTCCGCTCCTCACAAGACCTCCTTCTCTCTATTTCCCTGGTCTCCTCCTCCCATGCCCGCTCCAGGACTTCTCCAGGGTGTCACCCATCCTCTGGAACTCCCTGCCCCAACCCATCAGATTATCACCTACTCTCCTCTCGGCGCACCCTGAAAACCCATCTCTTCAGGGAAGCCTACCCCACCCCCTGCTAACCTGCCGACCTCCTCCACTCTTCCTACCACTCCATCCCCCACAGCTATCTCCTCCTGTGCCACCATCCCCTCCCTCCTAGATTGTAAGCTCCAAAGAGCAGGGCCCTCGATCCCCTCATGTTTTGCATTGTATTGGTATTGTTCTGTCACATGTTCTGTCCCTTTTGTAATGTACAGCGCTGAGCGAACTATTGGCGCTTTATAAATACTGTATAATAAAAATAAAAAACTGGTAATATGTGAGGCCCTGTGTGTTAAATAAAACTGGTAGTTGGGTCAAGAGAACTGAAAAAAAAAAGTCCAACTTATTATGATTTGGGACCAAAATTAAAATGTTAGCATTTAATTTTTTCTTTTTTTTTTTTTTTTTTTTTTACAGAAAGAGCATTTACAGTAGTTATTTTAAAGGGAGACTGCTGTGTATTTTCCTTAAGTACTTCTTTTGAATTATTAATATTGGAAATTAATTTTAAAGGGATTCTCAACCTGCTGGCTGCACCACATTTCCATGAACATATTTCATATGTAGGTGTGATTTCTGTATGTTTGAGAGTATAGTCGCCACCTGGCTGGGAAAGTGTCAAGAAAAGATCAATTCTAGTGGAGAGTGTGTTGTCATTACCCTAACTTCATGATCACAAAAGCAGAAAAGAGCATGACTGCTGTGCTGCATTATAGGCGGGTATCACAGCATGAACTGTATATGTAGTGTGCAAACAAAGTATTTATGTAATTATAGGTTAAATATTGAAACAATATTTTTAACAACATGAACACATGTTGATTTGACTATTTGCAAAAAGTTAATAACACTCACAAATAAAAACTTTAAGTCCCGCTACACACTAGTGCAACTTCTGAAACGTGACAAGTTGTACAAAATTGCATGACAAAGGAAATCTCATTGTTTTCAATGGTGCCCATTAATCAATGTGACTCAGCACAGTGTGATTTTGGAAAAGGTTCCTGCACTACTTTGGTGCAATATACAGTGTAACGTGGCCTCATAAAATATGCAAAGTCGCACTGTAAATTGCATCAAAGTCACATCACAGTAGTGTGAACTGAACCTCAACCAATCAGAGTATTGTATATATTAAAGTGAATGCAAATAAAGTATCTTAAGTTGGAAACAAACTGGAAAGTAAAGAAAACAAACCCAGGTGCTTTGTAAGGATGAAAAGACCAAGAGACTGTTAGCTTTTGGACTTTTTATTCAGAATATTAAGGAGTCATACGTGATTTGTTAACATGAATTGCGATTACCCATTTTTTTTTAGTGATAAATAAATTTGAAGTCTATGTTGACTAAAGAA